CACCCTCCTCTTCCCAAGTGGTTAAAACTGAATACTGACGGCTCCATATGTAAATCGAATAGAGCTGGTGTTGGTGGAGTGGTTAGAGATAGTAAATGGAGATTTTTGTTGGCCTTTGGTTTTGGTTATGTTCATTGGGATAGTGCACAGTTGGAGTTTTTGGCTTTCAAATCGTTGAAAAAAGTTATACAAGAGTGGATGCTCGAGGCATATGGTATTGTGATTGAAGGGGACAATCGAAACATCATTAGCTTTCTCCACAAATTGTATAGTATACTAGAGAAGATGATCGGAGTATAGAAAGATGAAGACTTGTTATTCTTGAAGGATTTCAATAATGTTTTATTTCATTTTGTTAGTCGTCATTGTAATAAGTTAGTGGATTATTATGCTAACTTAGCTTGTGAGTATAATTTTATTTGGGACGTTTTTAGTGAGAATAATATCCCCCTTTTGTTGCTTTGTTGAAGGAGGAATGTGATAGGTTGCCTTTTGTTTAAGTAGTTTGTATCTAGGTCTTTTTATTTAATGCTATATTGCATTTCTTCTAAAAAAAAAAGTGTTCTCTTTATTTAAGCCAGAATTTTAGTATCATTTGGATAACATGTGTTGTTATGTTAGAAATCCTATTTGATAAACAGCTCTCTCTTATTGTTCAATTAAATATGAGACATGATTGCCTTCGCTTATTTTAAATTTAATTATAGATATAATTATTTGTTATCACAAAAATAATATGAATTATGTAAACAATGTTGTCATGGATAGATATAATTATAATTGATAATATAAATGAATAGTGTTACATGACAATCCTGTTATGTTTAAACAAATCATGTTCTTATTAATCATTTGTTGCCTGAGAATATTAGACACCATTTTTTTTTTTTTTTTTTGAAATATTAGGCACCAATTGGCATGTAATGGAACGTATCGTGATAGATATAATTGAAAATCACTTTAAATAAAGTTTTACTTAATGGCAACATCTATTTCAAAATATTGAAAGCAAAGGGTAATACTATTGAATTTCTCATGTGTAGTTTACATGTATGGTCATACTCAAACATCTTTGTGAATTTCATTCAAATATCATTTTGAAAATTAAAATGCATGAAATTCTGACACTTATTTCACTCTTGTATTATTTGCAAGATACATCGAAACCTGCTAAAATATAAAAAATTATGGAGCAATCATCTCCTCTATTTCTTCCAAATGGAGGTGCTACGGCCGGTTGAATCGTTGTCTTGTTGCGGTGAGGTAAATTCTAAAATTTAGAGCCTCCTAAGACACTTAAGCCTTGCATCTGAATAGGATCGCCTAAACCTTAGGTTCTTATAGACACCGCACATTTAATTTCAAACCCAATAATCTGCTAGTGAGTAGTATTTTACCCGTCTATGATAAACCTAGAGATGCATGACAATGATTTATTACCCACTTAGAATTTTTCCCTTTTTGATTTTTCATGAATAATAATGTATATTAATAATAAAAAGGTGTATTCAAATATAATTAAGTTAAATTTAACAAGTTTTAATAAATAAAGAATATTAATAAAGTAAATTAATAATAAAATCTAAATAAACTGAAATTAAATAAACTTTAAAAAATTATTAAGAATCAAACGAAAATAAATTAAAATTCTAAAATAAAATCAAATAACTAAGCTTAAATAATTCTAACACATTAATTAAAAAAATTAAAACTCAAATAAATCTTTAAAAATTTAAATAAAGTAAATAAGATCAGTGAATGGTAATCAAAATTTAATCATCTCCAACAAAATAAGATTTTATAATTAATATAATTACACTTGATTTAATTAAATAAATTTATTATTGAATATAAAATAGTTAACTAAAAGACCTTCCATGCTTTATGCTTGATTCTTTTTAAGGGCATATTAGCATTGCATTTAAAAGATACTCAACTTATTTTAAATAATAAAAGACACTTGTGCATTATATTTAACTCCATTTATTAGACAAATATGCATTGATTTAAAGGAGTCTTTAATAAATTAAAAAGCTAAAGGCTTTTATGTATTGTGTTCACCTTTAGGAAGACACAATTGTGTTGGATTATAAAGCCTTGAATAAATTCTTAATAAATCTAAGTAAATTTAAAATTTAGCAAACAATCAAACTTAATTAACAAAGGTGACTGTTGAGTAACCCAAGCTAACGACACTATTAATGTAGCCCTAATAAGGGTGAAATAAATCACATACCTCTGGTTGAACAAAGACAATTACTATTCAACCTAAATAATCACTGATAAATCATTAATAAAATACTTAGAAATTTGAGATTTATACCCATGGGCTTGACTCCATTAAGAAGGCAAATGTGTATTGAATTGAAAACTCTTAAGGACAAAAACATCTAATTAAAATGCAAGGCTTTAGAACTTGAGTTAGTGACTTTTGCAAATTGAAGCCAATAATTAATATGATTTTTAAAACTTAAAATAAAATAACTCAAACAAATAAAATCATCTAAAATTTAATTAATAAAATTTTAAAATATTAAACTTAAATTAAATTATAATCACCTTAACCTATAACCAATAAACAACTTCAAACATAAGTAACTTAAACACCAAATCTCCTCGTACATATCAAAGACACATGATGTTTTACACACACTAAAGCTTGTTTGCTAGGATCACTGAATCAAGTCTTAGGTTAGGCCATTAGTGTATTATGGTGTGATGCATGTACCTTTGTTTAGAGGATATCCTTAGTATGTTTGTTTACTTTATGTACTCTGCATGTCATGCAAGCATTTCATACATCTTGCTTTACAGTGCACTCTATCTGCATGCATATATCATATAATTATTGTTCAAGTAAAATGTCAACATAGAATATTTTTAGGTAGCTTGTAAAAAGTAAAGATTCAAAATAGAATGTGTCTAAGATTGTATTTAAATTGTAAAATGCTCAATGTATATTTGTATATTTCAATTTTAAAGAGTTGTAAAGGTTTAAAGATACTTATATATACATATAGGGCTCTAAACAATAACCCCATCCCCCTTATGGGGGTGTTCTTTTTTGGAATCTTATAAAAGTCATAGAGCCAGATGATAATAAGCAAGTATATTTAGACCTATATTTCAGAGAAGTAGAAAACTAGTATTTTTGTGGTGAAGCCTGACCACCAAACTTTCTTGCAGATCTTAGGATTCATTTATTTTTCAAATAAATGAATAAAAAATTTTATTTATGCATTTGTTTCATGCATCATACATGACATTAAATAGATTCATTTGAATAATTTATATAACTCTGAATTAAATATCTGAATTAAAATCCCTTACTCCTTAGGATAGAGCCATCCTATCTTGCATGCATAAGATGATATATTGTGTTTAGAATATTAGTTGACAGCTCATTTCATGCAAACATAACCCCATATTTTATACCACTCAGAGTCATTTTTACATCCTAAATGAATTATAAGTCTTTACTTTATTCTTAAATGTCAAATCAATTTTTTATCTTTTAAAAACAAAATTTTAATCAAATATTCATATATTTGAAAAAGATATATTCATCACTAAAGATAAAGAGATGTGCATCCTCTAGGGAATAGAACCTAGGCCCCCTTTGGGCACAAAACTAAGAAAAGAATATTATAACATCCTTAATATATAGTATTCTTGAGTCAAGGCCTAAGATGTAATTAACCTCGGGGCTTACGCCTGTGGGGAACTGACATCACATCAAATAAACCTCATTCGAGCTGATGTATCGAATGAGAGAAATATCATAATTATTGAATTATACATAATATTATCTATCGATATTTATAGGCGAAAGCCACTACTCTCTATAGATAATCATATGTATAATTTGATCGGCACTCTTATTGATCTGCTTACGAAGAGTGTATAGGTCTATGACGGTTTTGTCCTACAATATAATTTGATCGTATCCTTTGGCATTCTAATCACCGCTAGCAGCATATTTTAGAAGACCCACAATATTCTTAGTAGTAATCCACAATATTCTTAGCAGTAATAAAAGAACTATTGATGGATGTTATTAGTGTGAAGACCACTATTCTCCTCAAAATTATGATGAAATTTCATGAGAATGCTTATTATCTTATAAGAATCATTAGTAAATATAAATGAGATATAGGCAAGCTACCATTAGATTGAAAATACATATTCGGATAGTTCATAAATAGATTATGAAGGCCTCTGGACAAATATTCAACAAAAATAATGAAAAGAGCTAGTGAAAGAGAGTCCCCCTACCTAAGACCTTGAGCTGAATTTACAGAAATCATTACCCTTTCCATTGCCGATAATTAAAAAATAGCAAGCTTCAATGTAATTTTTGATAATCTAAAGAAAATCATAGTTGAAACCAAATAATCTCAGATGCAGTTATTGACTTAATTGAATACGCATGTGAGAATAGCTTCTAAGATCGGGCAAAAAGATTCAACATTTAGTCGCGTAGGTCTAGCTAAGCCTTGGAATAAGTATGCTTTTGCAAGTTTCTTAAAACATTAGGAACTCACAAGTATGCTAGCAATTTCATCGTTCTATTGGCAAGTTCATTGCGTCCCTAACGAGTATTCTATCTCCATCCCTCTTATCCCGATTTGGTTTTGCTTAACTGGAACTTTTGATATATTCATACCAAACAATTCAAGTTTGAGTTTTAATAAAAGAAAATATTTTATTTTATAGGATTAATTAAGTAAATGAATATGAATGAGCCTTAATCTAGCTAAATGTTGAATAACATATCGAACTTATTGCTTCATTTGTTGCACAAACGACATTACATCAAAAGCCAAGCCACTTTATTAAGCAGAGAAACCATTTCATATTGCTTTGTATTTATCCAAACCAGAGAAATCATTGCAAATGAAAAGGAAGAAAATCTTCACTGGCTTGAACTAACTACAAATAAATGCAAGCATAGAAAAGAAAAATAGGCTGACATAGATTTTAACTTTAACAGCAAGGGGAGGATAAGCGTGGCAAATGAAATTAGACGACAAGATAAAACATTAAACAACGAGCAGATAGGTTCACATATTGAAGAAACACAACCAAAAAACAAGATAACAACAGACAAAAAAAAAAGTCCAAGCTACAGATCATTTTCAAAAACTCCAACTTAAATCTAGCAATTCATGGTCTATTCAAGACAAAAAGACAAATAAGAGAGATCTGACCAATGACGATAAAAAGTCTCATAACATACTATCTGTCCTAGCAGGTAACCTCCTGAAGAAGTTAAGAGGAACAGATGGCATCTTGTGTCTGAACCTTGGGTGCCTTAGCAAATATATTCCAGCCAAAAAAGACACCAACCGAAATGGGGTAACATAGAGCACAATAGCAGCAACAAGACAAAAGATCACAAAAAGTGCAGTTGCTCTCGGATCCCGCCAACTCAACAATGACTGCAACCTCTCCCCTTGTGTAGCAAGATCTCCAACAACTGTCTGAATCTTACCAGCAACACTCCTCAATCGATCATATCGCATCCTGACAATATCAGGGGGTCGAGAGGTAGGAAAAGTATCAAATTCTTCATCTAACTCATCAGGATGAGCTGTGTCTGCATGCGAGAGTCTAGTGTCCATGTGAGGAGGATGCCTTGGCCTCCATCGGTAGTACCATACTCCAATCAGGAACAGATACAAGAATACTGTTGGAAGTATAAGCTCCGGATACAGAACTAGTATCACAAACAGGACATGAATGAGAACTGTAGTCAAAGGATTCCTCCAATTGCATATTTGATCGAACCACTTTCCAACTGCAATAATACCGCTCAACACACCCATAATTCTAGAGAAATTAGCTTTGCTCTTTCTCATACTCCACATGTGAGAGTCCACATCAAGCATATACTCAACAATTTCCTTCCTCAACGGTGGCTCTGCACGGCCAAGTCTCATAGAAACAATCTGAGTAGCTTGGTGCCTCAAGTTATCAAGCTGAGTCACAGAAAGGGGAAAAAGGTAGTGCATTTTAGGCAGCAATGGAAGCAAATACATGTGCATCATGTTAAGCAGTGAGGAGGAAGTAAATCGAACAGCAAGTTGCACTTCTCCCATCTTCTTCACCCCCGAAGGAAGCAAAACAAGTAAAGGATATGCATGGGTATAAACTTTATCCGTTTCTAGGGTTGAAAGTCGAATCCGAACCTTACCAATCTTGGAATCACGGGTTCCTGCAGACTTCTCCCCACCTTGTAAATTACAGTTATCAAAAACTCCTATTGTTAGAACCGTACATGGATCATATACCTCCCAAGTGTACTGCTCATTCCATTTCGGAGCAAAACTGTCAATTATAGTCCTCGTTCGAACCCATTTCTGTCCGTATTTCGCAATACAGTAAGAATCAATAGTTCCCTTTCCATCCTTGGTCTTCATTGGCAACAGCCCTTGAGCGTTCAAGATACCTAGTTCAAGAACTCCAATACTTGGCTTCCATAGCTGCTTTGCTGTTGGTCTGAAATCACTGCTGTAATGTGTAGACTCATCTAAGACATGGTATCCGCCATCCAAACATATTCTAAGATGAATCCTGCTAGAAAATTTTAGCTCCTTTTTCTTATCACCTTCTGTAATAACGACATGCTTCTCAATAGTATACCACCGACTCAGCACAGGCTTGTAGTCCAACCTTCTATCCACAGTCTGAAGTGGAATAATCGTCTTTCCAAGCAACTCCTCCTTGTTTGGCCCAACCCTATCCTCAACACTTATGGACAAATGCTCCTCAAAAGGCTCCGCAGCTACAAACATCAAATCTTCATTCCACACAGGATTAATGCCCCTGATAGAAGATATCCTTGTCCTGAGGGCTTGATTGCCAAGCGAAGCCTTCACAAATACCTCCGGAAACCTACCTTTGTCAATAGGCTGCAAATCCTGAGCTTCAATGACATTAACCCTGACATACCATAGCTTAGGAGTGAGATAAACCTTTGATCTTATATTAGCAAGGCCATCACTAGGAACTGTGGCGGCATCAGAATGCCAAGCATTTGGGAACGCTTCATCTGCTTGAGTGCCCATCCAGACTGCTAACATCAGCTCTCCCTTAATCTTATCACCGTTCTTATTTTCCAATCTGTACCACTGAGGAGCCAAAGGGCTGTCAGGAGGAACCCTTTTTGGGATCTCACTCAAATCGAAAGTAATCCTTCCAACAAAATCATCCTTCACAAAGTCCTTATCCTTGACTATAACTTCAAGATTGGAAGCTTGGATCCGATCCTTTGAGAAGGCAAAGACCTGGTTCCATTCAGGATTAGTCTTCTTCTCAAAATGTCGGGTTGTTCCCTTGTAATTACCAAGCTTAACCTCCACATATGGATCAAGACTGCCCGTAATATCTTTTGCAGGAAGATCTTTAGCTTTGACAACACGAACATAGAGATATTGCATTTGCTCGACAAGGTCATAGGTGCTGGTAAGCTTATCCCCGGCAACTCCACCGCCACCGAGGTGAGGAGAAGTCTGCTTCAAGGAATAATCTTCAGGGCGAAAAGGCCTCTGCATCATCTTGTGCTACCAAGAAAACACAAGAGAGTAGCAAAAGTGGTGATATCTGAATACGGTATGGAACTTTGACTCTTTCAACCACTGGTTTAAATTGCAAAGAACTTGGAATTCAAATATCGTCCCAAACACCAAAAAACCTCCAACTTAAACAAAAATTAGGCCTTCAACATATAAGCGCTAGGCAAACCAGAAACACTTGGCAAGTCGCTTGAAAACAACTGCACAGAAACAGAGAACACGCATCCCCCAATTAGATCCCCAAAGAATTATATATCAAAACAGAAACAGTAGGCAAGTCGGCTAAAAGTTTTAAAAAAAAAAAGGCATTTTATTTTAACCCTAACTATCATGTTCAAACCTAGCACAAACAAAATCCCAAGAAAATCGAGAATAAGGCTAGATTATTAAGTAAAATTCAAGAAATCGATAAAGAAAAAAGAGAATAGAAACGAATCAGGGACCTTAAATACTCAACAAAGTTCAAATTTAGAAGCCACAACCGCCATTCCAGCTAAGAAATTAAACCATAGACACTCAAATTTCAAATTTCCTGAGTATTTTAACCAAAGAGAGCGGGGTAGTGAAGGGAAGATGGTACCGTGCAGAGGAAGGAAGCTGTGTCGGACGACTCCATCAGGAATTGTAGGTCGCTCGCGGGACAGAACTCCTCTCGTTTAAAGCAGAAGAGCATCGAGTGAGACTGCATTCTAGCTTTGGACACAATGTTCCATAAAATAACATGCATAGCAATCTTCCCCTTTTTATTTTTTTGAGAAAATTTGAGCAAAGCCCAGTATATTAAGTAAAAGAAATATACAAATAAAAATTAAGATCTCCACTATGGGTGTAAATGAGTCGAGTCGAGTATTTGCCTTATCAAGCCAGACTCGTTTAATCCTTAATGAGCTCGAGCTCGATAAGTGGGCTCGAGCTCGACTCGTTTAGGAAATATCAAGCTAGTTCGAGCCGGCTCACGAGCCGGCTCGGCTCACTTACACCCCTAATCTCCACCAAAAAGAAGGAGAAGCTCACAAAAAACTCAAAATAGGCAAAAATTACAAAGACATTCAAAACGAGCAAGAACAAAAGCCCAAAAAACCAACATGAACCCGAACTCAATCAAAAATCATCTCGTCATAAAGAGATCCATAATTCAAGGCACCATGGTTGTCCGAAGACCATCCAAAGGTAGCCAAAGTGAATGAGGACATTATTGTCCCAGGTTCTACCGCAAGAAGAACCCACCATGTAAAGCAGCACCCAGCGAATATTAAAGCAACGCTAGCAACTTGATTCCATTTCTCCATTTGCATACTTTAGCAAAAATAGTACTCTTAATCTTTCGAGAGATAGTAATAGAATTACTGGCATTCGTACCAAAACACCTCTTATTTCTTTCCTTTCAAATATAATAAATAGCACAACAAGCAGCTAAAAAAAAACAATTTTTTCTCATCAGTAGAAAAGGTATCCTTTTCACTAATCCATTCCAGCATATATGCAACATTAGGCCGTAAAAACAGAGAGGTTGCCCCTGGAATCAAGCTTGCGATAATTGAGAAGGAGTAGTTGCACTCAAAGAAAAGGAGTGCCAGACTCTCAAATATCGAGTGATAAAGCTTGCAAATAAAATCAATAATAATGTTGGGCTTAAGAAGAGGTTCAGCCATTTTCAAACCATCCACTAGGCTAAGCCATCAAAAACACGAAAAACGCCAAGCATAAAGTTTTTGCCAAAAAGCGCTCAGGCTCTTTGTAAAACTCCTTAATAAAATCACCAAATGACACCTTATCATAGTTACCCCAAAACAAACAGTTACCATAATTCATATAAATAAGAATATTGAGGATAGCAAAGGCAACAGTTTGAACCAAATCAGCAGGCAAATTCCACCTCTCCCCAATAATGTAATTGCAAACTGTGGAATTCCAATTACCAGAAAAATGATTAGCCAAATAGTCCACATTACACCTGATGTCTGAATAGAAAGCAATAGGCGCATAAGGAGTAATTTTAAACTTGAAGAGAGTTTTGGTAATAGCAACCGTTTCACAAACAGACTTCCAGAATTTTGTGGCATGAGCAGGAGGGGGTCACCAAGGCGAAGTATATTGAGAAATGAACCACAAAGAGAGAGGTGAGTTACAATTGTACATCCTACAAATAATCGCACAGTTAAAACCAATTGCAAAAACTGTATGGAATGCAATCCCAAGCCCCCCCAAGAGCTTATGCTTACAAACTTTATCCCAAGCAACAAGATGCAGCTTACGAGTGGCCTCCACATTTCCAAAAAATAAGAATTTGGATGATAGTCTCTTGATAAAGTTTGATCCAGTAAGCTATAGAGTTAAGAATGTTGAATTTAAGGAATTGTAAATGGCCAGTAAATGATAACAGATTGGCCTTTCATCCTGATAGCTTACGAGTGATACTTTCAACCAAAGGCGAAAAATCGGAGTTTTTGCACGTAGAAAAAGAAAGTGGAATGCCCAAGTATGTAATCGTGGCGCTATCATTATAAATGGATAAAGCAGAGCAAATGTTAGACCTATTATGCTCAAAGTTTGGAAACATTATCGATTTTTTGTCATAGTTGACAAACAGTCCAGAAGCATTAGCAAAGGTTTTTAGGTGTTTAGAGAGTTTATTGCTTTTAGCCAAATCCATATTACCAAAAACTAGGAGGTCATCAGCGTATAGCAAATGGGTGATGTTAAACCGATCCACCTTAATACCTTAAAAATCACCATCATCAATCAAACAAGAGAAAACATCCATTACTATGCAAAATAGATATGGGCTAAGAAGGCATCCCTATCTCAGACCTGCAAAAGAAGAGAAGTAACATTCTAGAGAACCATTGATGAGAGTATAATAATTAACATTAGATATACACGCTTTAATCCAATGAATAAAAGTGCTAGGAAAACCTTTCTGAGCTAATCTATCCAAAAGGAATTCCCTTGAAACAGTGTCAAATGCTTTGCGAATATCCAGCTTGGCACAAAAGCGTTTATAACTTCTCTTACCACGAGCATTGTACAAGATCTCATTAGCGAGTATAATGTTGTTAGTAAAAATTCTTGATTTAACAAAGCCCGCTTGTTAATTTTCATAATCTCATGCATAAGAGGCTTCATTCTATTGGCTAAGAACTTAGCTATAATCTTATATAAAACATTGCAAAGAGCGATTAGTCTAAAATCTGATAAATTAGACACATGATTGTGTTTCAGAATTAAGATAAGAGCAGTTGATTTGACTCCACTAGGAAGATAGCCCTTAAAGAAGAAGGATTAAATATCCTTATATAGAGAAGGGCCAATAATGTGACAGCCAAATTTATAAATGTGAAAGTTTATCCCATTAGGTCTTGAAGCAGAAGAAGATGCCCCTGAAAAATTTGCACTTTTAATTTCTTCATCCGAAACCAATTGAATAAAAGAGACAGCCATAGAAGTATCTAAAATGTTCCTTGAAGGGAAAGTAGACATATTCATAAAGGTGGGAGGCTGTGGGTTATAGAGCTCTTGAAAGTGATTAGTGATTGGCCTAATAACCTCATGTCTAGGAATATTATGAGCATTTGATCCAAGGTTTAAAATACCATTTTTCTTAGAATTTCTAGCACGAATTCTAACATATAAGAATTTGAAGTCATCTTCATCTTGAGACAACCATTTAGCCTTCGCCCTCTGAATAACCCACAAGGCTAATAAATTAGAGAATTCTGAGATTTGAAGATTAATAGATTTGAGAGAATGATTGTAAATTTCATTCAAGGAGTCAACATTAATCAAATATAAACAATCCGCTTGCTTTTTATGTAGATCAGCCAAGTGTATATCAATAATAGAAGAATTGGCCCAAGAATTCTTCTTAATTTCCCCTCTCAACATTTTGAGCTTGAGACAAAAGTCCTGAATAAGATTTCCAAAAGAGGGAGTATAGAATATATCTATCACAATGTTCCAATAAAACCCCAATTTGGACCAACAATTTTTGAAAAGGAATCTATGATTACTTGTAGGCAACCCACCATATTTCAGAATGATAGGACTATGATCTGAGCAAGATGGAGACTCGATAGAGTAGAAAGAGTTCGGATATAACCCCAACCAATCCTCATTAATGAGTATTATGTTGAGCTTGATATGTATAGGAATATATTATCTTTGATTAAGTAAACAAGCTTCCCACCGATTGAAGATCTTTGAATTTTGCATCAAAAATCAAAGAATTAAGCTCCCCAATCCTGGGTTGAGGAATAATATTTCCACCAGCTTTCTCAGAAGCAAATTTACAGCAATTGTAACCCTCCATGAGATCCCAAGGTGTGTTGCAAGGGGGAGCCTAGTTTCTAATATCCTTCCAGAGGATGTCCCTCTCAACTTCACTATTGGATTCATAAATAATAGATAGGAAGAAAGGTGGTTGATAGCTAAATTTGACAAAGCTAGATATAAGCTGTGTGGAGAAAAAGGTGGGAGTAAAATTCAGTCTATTGGGGTTTTATTTAATCCAGATATGACCAAATTTAGAAAGATGAAAGTTATTGTAGCTGTCTTCAGAGGAGAAGACCGAATGAGACACAACAAAAAAAAGGACTTAAAGAGAAGAAAATAGAATTCTATTCTCCAATAAACAAAGCATGTCAAGTTTGAAAGAGCTAATTAAATGTTTGTAGGAAATCACTTTATCAGGGCAGTTAAACCCCCCTAATATTCCAGGATGCAATGTTTGGAACATACACTAATGTTTTGAAGGGTGAGGGGGCCTCCTCCCTAGTGGATTTTGATTGTTGACTAGAATTGGGCTGTTGATTAATAGTGTATTTCTGTAAAGACACAGATTCAATAGATTTGGAGGGGCAAGCCACTTCTTCACTTTCCCCTTGATATAGCAGAACATCAAATTTGTTAGGTGATACAACACCAGGTTGAACTTCTGAGATATCTCCAACGGACTGGTTAGAGGAAGAGGCTCCTTACTAAGTGGGGGAGTTTTGGTTTGGTATAAGGGTGGATGCGTGATCAAGCTCACCAATAGACTTATGAAGACTATCATAATTTGAATCAATGGAAGAGTCAATATTTAATTGAGCTTCTAGTCAAGTGGGAACAATAACTAAAATTTCAAGGTTTTCTGGTTTGTCAGGAGCTGAGGAGGGGCGAGGCTCCTCGTGTATGGCATTATCAGGTCGGACATTAAGAGTGGCAGGAGCATTTATGGTTTTTGAAGGAGCAACATTCGTAGTGTGCCAATTTGAATGAGAGGGACTAGCATTTGAATGAGAGTGACCAGCATGAGGAGGAGCGATGCGAATTATTACAGGTGATGGCTTACTTCTTCAAAAATAACAATTCTTGCTAGAGTTACGTCCACGAGGGGGGATCGAAGGATAATTTAATTTGTTTCTAGGAGCATCAAAGTCAACAGGTTTGGAGGGACATGAAGCTGAGAAATGGCCAAACATTTGCAAAACTCACAAGGGGTTGGATTCTATTCGTACTAAAATTTTAAGTTAAAAATGTTCCCTTCGAGAAAGATGGGGATTTCTTAAGGATATCTTGCCGAACTATCGACTTGCACATAGATTCTCACAAAGGTAAGATGAGTCTTCTAAGTTGTGAGAGCATCGACAGCTAACATAATTCCAACTTTACTAGCGATTATGGAGATACCTTTCAAATTCCAACAAACAAGAGGTAAATCATGGATTTTTATCCTTATTGGGACAGATGAGAAGTTTTT